GGTTGTTAGGCGCAGTGAGGAAGGAGAAGAAGAAGAAATAGGGCCTGGTGCACCTACTTCTATAGATTGGAATGAGGCCAAAACTTTTGCAAGTATCCTTCAACCTTTTTATGAGTTCACTTTGAAAGTCTCTGAAACTAAATCTGTAACTTCAAATTTTTTTCTTCGAGGGTGTTATTTTCATTGAGGCTTTTTTAAGAAAACTAATCAATGAATCTGAAGATCCTAGCATCTCCTTAACGGCAAAGATGATGAAGTTTATTTGACAAGTATTTTGGCAATTTTGAAACTTGCTGGCTTTGTTTGTGGCTTGTGTGCTGGATCCTAGGAACAAACTTAGTATTTAGAAGTTGTTTTGAATGATGTGTTTAGGAAAATAGATGGTAAGTCAAGAAAGAGCCAAATTGAAAGTGAAGTACATGACATGTATGCTAATAATGTGAAGTTACATAAACTAGAGCGTAGTTCACATTCTCCCCCTCCAGAGACATCTCAATCTTCTTTGGGAAAAAGGAATTCACCCATTGATGTACAAGCTTCAAAGATGTTGACAGAAAAGTTTAGAATGCAATTGAAGAAGAAGAAAATTGAGGTTGGTGGTAAGAATTCGAAGTCAGAGTTAGATAAATACTTGAAAGAAGATCTTGAAGAAGATGATGGGAAGTTTGAGATTTTGAATTGGTGGAAGGTTAGTAGTCCTAGATTTCTCATTTTATCTTTGATGGCTCGTGATCTCTTAGCCATTCCAATATCAACAGTGGCTTCTGAATCCTGTTTTAGTACAAGTGAAAGAGTCTTAGATACTTTTAGAAGTTCTTTGACTCCAAAGGTAGTTCAAGGACTTATTTGTGTCCAAGATTGGCTCCGTCATCCTACAGAGAAGCCAGAAATGCTAAAGGTTGGAGAAACTTGGGAAGACCTTGAAGCAGTGGTAAAGGGTAATAATTTAGAAATTTTAAAGTATTATTTGAAGTTAACATGTATTCCTTTTCTTTGTTACTTACAGTAACTTCTTTAGTTTTTTGTTTACCAATTGCAGATTTCATTCCAAAGGACAGCAGCATAAATTTAGATTTGCCATGACACATTATCTTTGTGTCAATAGATTATTTTTCTCATTTAAGTTGTGGTACTTAACATAATTTGATTTGCATTGTATTCTGATTCTCTACTAGTCTACTTTATAACTCTTTCATTTTTTACACTTTCAGGAATTTTTCTTAAGAGTTTGAAGAAATGAACGTTGTTGATGTTTTGTTCTGGTTGCTTATCAAATTTAAAAGGGCTGGGGAAGGAATGTGAAACTGGAAGAGATCTAAGAAGTGTAGAAGGCCTTGCTGTTGATGTTTTTGTTTTATTTGTTGTTGAAGGAAAACTTTAATTCATTGAATTATGTTGAAATTTGTGGTTGTTTTTGGATCTTGTTTATGTTCATTGGAATTTTTAAGACTTTTGATTGTATTAGGCTACTGAATTAAGTTATTTGGGATGAAACTTCTGATGTTGTTTAATTCAGGATGTTTAATTTGAAGCTGAAAGTCTGAAAGTTCTGCCTAGTTCTAGTTTAGATTCCAAAAAAAAAAAAAAAAAAATCGTTTGTTGCATTTGGTTCAGTTTAAGGGTAAACTGACCAACTAACCTGATCGGTTTTTCGATCGGTTCGGTTCAGATTTGCCTACTATCGGTTTGTTATTGGGCGGTTTCTTTAGTCTCAAAAACCCGATTCAACCGAACCAAATAGCGGCTAAACCGACCGAACCGACCGAATTAACACCCCTACACTCTGTTGATATTTTGAAAGGATGATCAAACATCCAACTTTAAGAAAATATAGGAAAATCTCTCTATCATTGTGAGAATTAAACATCAACTGAAAGGTTTTGTTCCAGATTCTCCACTGGAACACTAGCTAATTTAGATTCTCTTAAGTCTTAACTCGTGAAAAATAATCAATTAGATTCTGATTATAATTAAAAATTTTAATCATAAAAACCGATGGCAATTACACACACAAAATTATTTTTAAACTTTTTTTAAGGATATGGTAAGGGAATAAAAAGCATTTGAGGGTGCGTATTTTTCCATGATGCCTTAAAATTGTTACTAGCTATGAGTTACTCTATGTTTACAGATCAAGAAGTTTTTTTCTAAGAGTAAAAAAAATTCTTAAAAATTGTATTTTATGAAAATTTGTTTTTCTATTTATAAGATACACATTAGAATTTAAGGTTTAAGGTCCACCAAATTTAGTCAACATCGGATGTCCTGAACTAACAAATTTATTTCATCGATAATTGAAATGAATAAAGACATGAAGTAACCTTTCTAACTAAGTCCGATTAAGTCTGCTAACCACAATAAAATCACCAAAGTAGCTTTAAATTTTGTTACCACTCATTTAGTGCTTTTGTCACGCCTCTAGTTCTCATGTCACTCCTTCTGTAATATAGGAACAAAACCACTAGTTTTTCTTTAGTTTTGGAATCCCGCATTCATCCAATTAGCTCATAAAGCACCTCTTCATCAATTTAATCAATTGAACTGGATTCGTTCGTATACTTCCTCTGTCCAAAAATTATTGTCCACTTTAGAGTTTTATTTTGAGTAGTGATATTTCCAAGTCAATAGTTAGCATCCAAAGCAATTTTTACACCACTTTCCAAGATTACCTTAACTTTTGTCAAACTCCAACTTAATGATTCCTCGGTTCTCTCTCTTCTATCCTTTTGGTGGTCATTTCTTCCTATTCCAAAGGAACTAAAACAGATTAATTGTGTAAATTAAGCAGCAAAATTCTTTTTTGATTTTAAGTTAGATATGGGGTGAGAGAGTTGGGTGGGGTGGTTAGGGGATTAGAATAGGGGATGGTTATTACCAACTGGTCGAGGGTCCGATTCTTGCTGGGACCATCTAAATTTTTTTAAAAAAATATATATCTTAAATTAGGTATTTCCACTCAAAACCAAACCTTGAAATCACTCTTTACCTACGCAAACTTCCAATCCTTGAACACAGGATATATCCGAATTTCATAACCTGAAACTTTCTGTTTCTTTCTTTTTCTTCTTCTTCTTCATTTTTTTCACCATGTGCATGCCCTGTTACAAGATTGATTTGGGTTTTTTTTAAAAAAAAAAGTTGAATATGGATTCATATGTGAAAGTGCAAATTATCACATTTTAGTTCTCTTCTCATATTTGGATGAGTTGTCAAATTTGATTGCACTATAGATATTACTGATGCAAATATGGAATTTGGATTTTTTTTTTTTTCTTGAAGATTTGCTGAACTTTAGTTACTGATAGATTTTAGATTTCTTTCTTGTTCTAAACTGGGTACTTAAGGATTGAAAAGGCCAAGAAGTATCGAATACATAATTTGGTTCTTAATGTGTAATTGGTAATTGATAATTAAAAAACTTTTATATGTGGAGTGTAAGAGAAGGCTGATGTGATTAATTGTGTAAATTAAGCAGCAAAATTCTTTCTTGATCTTGAGTTAGATATTTTAACTCAAAACCAAACCTTGAAATCACTGTTTATCTGCCCTAATTTCCAACCTTTGAACATAGGGTATCTCTGAATTTCATAACTTGAAACTTTCTGTTCTTTCTTCTTCTTCTTCTTCATTTATTTTTTTTTTTTACCATGCGAATGCCCTGTTTCAAGATTGATTTAGTTTATTTTTTTTAGATTGAATATGGATTCTTATATTTGAGTGCTTATCATATTTTAGTTCTCTTCTGCTATTTGTTGAGTTGTCAAATTTTGGTTGCCTATAGATATTACTGATGTAAATATAAAATTTGGATTTTATTTTTTTTTTTAAGATTAGCTGAACTTTGGTTACTGATAGATTTTAGATTTCTTTCTTCTTCTAAACTGGGCACTTAGGGATTGAAAAGGCCAAGAAATATCGAATACATAATTTAGTACTTAATGTGTAATTGGTAAATGATAATTAATGAAACTTTTATTGGTGGAGCGTAACATCAGGATGATGATTGGGGGTATTGTTTAAGGGAGGGGTGTTTCCAATCAGAGCAGGGAGGGTAGGAAGGCTAGAATGTAAAATCTACATTAACCGAAACCGGATAGAGATATAGTGGGGCTAGGCTGAGAATTGGACTTCAACCAAAATAAGGATAGTATTGGAAAGAAAAATATAAAAATTGCTCTAGATGTAAATTATTACCTTGACAGTATCGCTGGCCTTTTATTTTTAATGCAATCTATATATATTATCTATATAATATATATATATATATATTAATAAAGGATGAAAAATGCTCATGTGGCACGAGATTGAGAAACCCAATTAAGTTGACGTAAAAAAAATAGATATTACCATTATGCATTAATAATTTTAAGATTTGACTTAGGATAAAAAAAAATCTAAATATTTGGTTACACCAAATCTTAACCAAAACTCTAAAGATAATTATGATTTTTTCAAAAACAAAAAGAAATATGATATCCAGTAAGAAATTGGTCATTCGTATAATGTAAGGGTAAAATTTATTTACATTAACTTCTAGATTATTTATTATTTATTTTCCAAATAGGTAGTGATTGGCTCTTATATTACTTCATGACTAACAAACAATTAATTATGAACTAACTAACCAAATATGATAACCCCAGATAAAATTAGTAATATATAACGTAATTAGCATATGAATTTGAATAATTTTTCAAGAATTAATGAAATTTAGTAAGTTGATAAGATTATAGTTAATTGTTTTAAAGGTGAAAGTGAATCACAACTTTTTCTTAAACTATTTTAATTCTGAAATTTAACTATATCAGTTAAGATAATAACTTAAAAACTTTCCCATTTCAAAAAAAAAATTGAAGAGTTTACGAGTGACCAAGCCAAAAAAAAATGTGATTATTTTTTTATTTTTTAATCTTTTTTCATATTTTCGTAATATCTCAAAATTAAATTAGAAAATTTATTAACTTCAGTGGACTTGGATCCAAAATTGAATTTTGCTCATTATATGGCCCAAGCCCTTATGATAAAATCCCAGAGTTCTGAAACAGTGACGTTCTTTCTTCTTCGTCCTCCTACATTTCTACACAAAATCTCAAGTTTCAAAAAAAGGATTACAGAAATGGAGCCCCCAGCATCCTCTGTGGGCCCCGCTCCCAATCCATTCCAATCGCTCTCTGCCTTCATCCAGCAGCAAACCTGCCGACTCGGGGCCGAACTCGCGAGCCGGCTCGACGAAACGAAACGGTTCACCTCCAAATTCGCCGCCAATTTTCCGGCCGTGAAGCCGTCGCACGCTTCCGCTAGCCCTCTACTTCTGCCTTTCGCTTCCGTTACGAAGTCTCAGCCGCCGGCGACGCGAGAGGGAAAAGTAAGCTCCGCCAATTCAGCTTCCGCTGCTGCTGCGGCTACTCCCACTCTTAGCTCCGATTACGTCGCCAAAACCCTCGCCGGCACTTCTGTTTACACCGTCAGCAACACGAATAATGAGTTTGTACTTATCTCTGATCCAAATAGTGCCAAATCGATTGGATTACTCTGCTTTCGTTACGAAGATGCCCAGGCATTTCTCGCTCAGGTACATTTGACTCACAAACATATTCGTGTCTTGCCCAATTGGCCAATTATGAATGTAAAATAAACTCTGGGAATGTTGCAAATTGCAGGTAAGATCGACAAAGGGAGGATTGAGAGGTGGAGCGAAAGTTGTTCCGATTACACTTGAGCAGGTAATGTACATTTGTTTGTTTCCAATTTTGTAGCTTTATCACACATTATATGTATGGCCTAATGATGGTAACGCACATAAGCATTGATTTAAAAGAGTTTCAATTTAGTTATGTTGTACTTTCTGATAATGTAGAATGGACCTGCTAAGGTACTTTATGAACACTAGTGTTAGTTGTAGGGTGGAGTAAAAATTAGTTTAAGTTGTTAATGGTCCAGAAAAGATGATTTTTTGGATGTAGCATTCCTTTCAGTTTCCAATTGTAAATTGGCTTTCTGTACAAAGTTATATGTTTTGAGTGGAGATGGAGCTTGTTTGGTCTTTGGACAGCTCTTTAGTTCTCTTTTTTCATGTCAAAGTTTCCCCCTTCCTCATTTTGCATTCATTATGTTATGATTACAATAATACCCGAGTGAAATAATTGCCAGTTGGCAAAATGAAAACTTATTTGTTACGTTTAAGATGTATGAATTGTTTTCTCTTGTTCCCTCTAATTTTGATGGTAAAATGATGGGAGAATTTTGTTTTTGGCATGCGTTTTATTTATTGGAAATTCTATTTTTCAGATATGAGCAGTTCTGATTGAGTATAAGATGTGCTTCGTCTGTTGGCAAAACTTAGTTAATCATGCAAGCCAAAACCCCACAAGAGTAGTTTTTATGGATATACTTGCTTCGTCTCTGGATGTCATACTAGTGACCATCGAAGACATCTTCAATCATATGAAATTATAACTTGTGACTTTTACTTTCAGGTTTATATGTTGAAGGTTGAAGGTATTGCTTTCCGGTTCTTGCCTGATCCTGTTCAAATTAAGAATGCATTAGAGGTGGGTATTACTGGTTCTACCAAGTTTTAATGTCAAAGTTATTGTTGGTCCCTAATATGCACAGTATCAGATTGAAAATTCTCTGTCGACTAGTGTTGAACATTTCGCCAGTCATTTCCAGTCTTGCATTCTCTGCGTGTGCAAGTGGGACTGTGCACATGAAAACTCATGCATGGATATTAGTCTGATGATAAATCAGCAATATAACTTGTTCTTTTCTCTCTTTATTGCATTGTATTGTAATCTGATTTTTCATTGTCTTCACTAGTTAAAAGCTTCGGACACAATGAGCGGATTCGATGGAGTTCCTGTGTTTCAGGTGAGCAGTTTTCTTTCAAATGTGCCTCTTACGTGTATATATGTGATAGTTAAGTTTATTGTGGTCTCAGTGAATCTCAATGCCTTCTCTTAAATTCTCCATTTATCATTTTGTTTGTAGTCCGATCTTCTTGTGGTGAAGAAGAAAAAGAGACGTTATTTGCCTGTATATTTCCGAAAGGTATGTCTGGAATCTTATAGTGGGCAATGAAATCCTGATGAGGTAGATTACATTTACAGATTTGTGGTTAATTGGACAGGAAGATATCGAAAAAGAATTGTCAATGGTGTCACGGTCAAGAGGTGTTGCGCAGCCCATTGTGGTACCAGTCTCCATCTCTACTCTGTCATTATTTATTTGTTTATTTATTTATCTTTTGTATCGCTGCATTTCAATAAACATTTTGCATGAGAATCTTTCTGCTTTGGTCCAAGGAAAGCAAAGCAAGTAACTGAAAATTATGCTGCTTTCTTAACAAGCGTGTTAAAATCATCTAATAGGATTGCGTTGTAATGTTTATAACCAATTATGGTTGCCTTGTGTGAGTAATATTCTAGCACTTCTATTCTTATGGCAGGTCGGTAGTCTGGAAAATGTTTTGAAGAAAATGGAGGTAGGCTTTGTGAATTAAATGATTTGAAAGTTATGCGACTGCACTTGCTTTTGAAAACACAATGTTTGATATCATTTTAATCTTCCTTGGTTAGCAGACGAGTGAAAGAAACTCTGGCTGGGAAGATCTAATATTTGTTCCACCTGGAAAGAGTCATTCGCAACACATCCAGGAAGTTGCGCAGTCGTAACTTTTTGGGACAGACTTCTTAACCAGCGGATCGTGTACCGTGAGAATTACCAATACATGACCTGACCAGTATTTAATATCAAAGCTGGTAAGTATTAGATTCATGACTTGAACTGTTGCCTCATCATTATTTCACATCTCCTACATTGGAATTTCTTAGTCAGTAACAAAAGTCTCAATGTAACGTCATCAGGTCAGGTTGCAGACTCACAATGAAACTTGATGACTCGGGGAAAAGGATCATTATAGAAATAGGACATTGTCATCTGTTTTGATTGAAATCGGCTGTTTATGACTATAATCAGTACCATATGACATTTTTAGAGTAGTCTGATATTTATGGCAAAACATTTCTGGGTGGTAAGCTCATTTTGAAGCATACGCCAAGCTTTCCTGTCAATCAAAATTCGGGATTTCATGTCCATCAAAAATAGCTTAATGTAACGGAAATCAATCTTTGGATTGTAGTTTACAGGTCGTAATCAAACTGCCGGCTTGTTAGTACCTCTACTACTAATCATAACTCAAAAAGCCAGTTTGATGAATAGGCGAAATCAGCCAGCAGAACAGGAGTTTGCAGCAAATTGCGTATCAATTATAGTGCTTTTTTTTCCCTTTTTTGTGGCCTCTTCCCCTTTCTTTTGGTCCTATTTATAACCCACAAAATAAAATTAAATTTTCATTAAAATTTGATGCTTATACATACAACCGAAGGGTCTAGATTATAAAGATTATTTGAACGATGGTTCTAGTTGGTTTTTGTATTCAATTAACAGACAGTTGGCAGAGAAGATTAAGCTAGCAACTGTGACTATTGCTGGTATGGTGTGATTATCGGAATGTTTCTTGAACATTGATCTTAAGACAAACTACAAGTAATCTAAAATCGTTTTGGAAAAGAAGAAGCCAACAAAAAACAAAACCGAGTAAATAAATATTGGTGGCCTCGCTATTTCGTAACAGCAAATAAGCGACTGCTATTCTAGTCCTTACGTACGACATTGACAGAACACCCATAGAGTTGTTGGCAAAACCTCTCTTAACAACCCTAAGTATCATTTTCTTTTCTTTTCTTTTCTTTTCTTTTATTTTTTCCGACTCCCTTTGATCTTTCTTATCTAATATTACCCAATCAGTAGAAATGCATCATCAAAACAATAATTGCCCTTTTCAAGAATATATGACCGGATTTACTCGTGATGTGTATAATATAATAATAAGAAGAAAGCAAAAAGACTCTGAAGGGGCCAACGGAAACTTTTGCCTTAAAAAATTTGTCCAACTTATTAATAAATAAATCCACAATGTAATGGTAAAAATAATCATACCATCATACCTTGGGTACGTATTTGAATAATGGAAATAGTCTTTGACCCCAAGCAAAGGTTAGCAAAATCAAGACAAAGAAAAGATGGCTGCCGTTTAGAAATTAGAAGAATAATTCCTAGTTTCCTAACTACAAATTGCAACATATGGCAATTAATTAGTCCCTTAATTGATTAAGCATGTCTTCTCTATCTTTCTCAAGGAAAGCAAAATCTTAAAATAAAGACACGACACTTGGAACTCGACAAATGATTTCATAACTTCCCCTTTAATATAGCTCTATGGATCGCAACCCTCTTTCTAAACTCAACAACTACGTCCAAATAATCCCTTTTATAAACCATTCTTCTTCACAAATGAGTACTAGCTAGCTAGCAAGTAGAGAATCACTTGAAACATATAGTACTTTTTTGAGCTTTTGTTTCTTCATAAATGATCCTACCTGACACCTTTTTATACAGAGAAGTTAGCTAGAAAAGTAGGGAATTCAATTGGGATTTTCTTACTGTTCCAAAAAAAAAAAGGAGAGAAGAAGATGATCAAAGCCATTTCTACAAAGACTTTAGTTATCAGAATCAACCTGTTTTTCTTAGCTCTGTTCTTGGTTGCTTATGCGTTTCTTTTCGAATGGCCTTCTTCGACTTCATTGTACAATGATTACAATCCTTCATCTTTTGTCAAGTGTTCCTTGCGAGAATGTCATCATAAGGTAAGGTGAGCTAACCTGTTAGTATTATATTTCCACTCATTTTGTACATAATGTTACATTTCTGAATTGATTGAAGTTCTGAAACTAATGTTCTGTTTCAGATGGAAAATGGGATCAAAATGAAAGCAGTTTTGGAAGAGCCAGTCAATGATCAGTCAATCCCTGAAAGGGTTATAATCAAGAGGGAGAAACCAAGTTTTTTGGAGGTTATGAGAGGAGGAATGAGGATTGGAATGGTGAATATGGATGGCGAAGACGTAAGCGAGTGGAGAACTCTAGGGAAAATCATACCAGTTCAGTTCAAAAGAGTGTCAGAGTATTTTGAATGGAAGGACTTGTTTCCTGAGTGGATTGATGAGGAAGAGGAGATTGATGGTCCATCATGTCCTGAAATCCCAATGCCTGATTTCGACCGGTACGATTCGATGGACATGATAGTGGCGAAACTGCCAGAGAAGAAGAAAGATCAAGAAGTAGGGTGGGGAAGAGATGTGTTTAGGCTACAAGTTCATCTGATTGTGGCTAATTTAGCAGTGAAGAGGGGAAGAGGGATTTGGAACAGGAAGACAAAAGTGGTGTTTCTGAGTAAGTTTAGGCCAATGCCTGATTTGTTTCGGTGTGATGATTTGTTGAGACAAGAAGGAGATTGGTGGTATTATGAACCGGATTTGAGCAGGTTGGAACTGAAAGTTGCATTGCCTGTTGGATCCTGCAATTTGGCTTTGCCTCTCTGGGGAAAAGGTATGTATGGTTCCTGTTGTTTTCTGCATCTCCTGAGTTCTTAGTTCATATCCTCTCAAAATGATTGTCCTGTCAATTTTGTCATTCATTCATTCCCTTACTTCCACTCTCTTCTCTTTGAGTTTTTTTAAATTAAAACACAAAGAAGCATAAGCATTGTTCTATTTGTGATCCAAAAAATAAGCAAAAACAATTGCGCGCCAGGTAGGGGTCGAACCTACGACCTTCTGCTTAGGAAACAGACGCTCTATCCACTGAGCTACAGGCGCCGGTGTTAATACTTAATCGTATCCAGTTGTTAATACTCATTATTTCCAATACCTTCGGCATCATGTTCTAGAAGCATAGCTGTTTAAGTGTCGTTTTCATGAGTGAGTAATACTTGAACTTGAAGCAGACGTGATGAATGGGATTTCTTTAGCGAAAAATGGCGAAAGCTTTACTTTAACAACTTCAACTTCAAGCAAAGATATAGTATAGTATTTATGTACTTCACGTACGCAAGAATTTGTTTGTAGTAATAAGTTCTGGGCTTCTAGCGTGCCATATTAATTACTAGTCAAATTATTACGGTACATGGTGGATAAGTTTGCATATGTTAGAAGGCATGCTAGCTCCAATTAATTACTTCATCCACTACATTTTAAATCTATTTGTAATTTTCCGTAGAATGCATTCTCTTACTATCAACTAGTAAGACCACCGGCGGATTTAGGGTGGGGGCATACATGTTTAATTTTTTAAATTATAAATGTAATTATATTTAAATTTGTTGTTTTAATAGTTATTTTTCATATTTCGACTCAAAAAATATAATTCCTATTTTACTTTCTTTTAGTTTTGATTGAGCCTTGGGCCTATAAAAATTGTTTTAAAGTCAAAGTGACTTTATTTTTGTTATGTTTGGCCATGATTTTATAAGTATATAATGATGCAAATAAAAAAATAATAATTGTTCAGTAGAGTAAAGGATCTAAACCTTTAAACATTAACAAAATTTTTCTCATATTGTAACTTAAATCTTCCTTTGTGCCCAAAAAAAAGTAAGGTGCTCTCTTTCTGGTGTGTATGTTTTACAAAATTATCTTTAATTACTAAAAAATAATTAGTTTTGAATATGCATGGGTTGTAACTATAGCGAAAATGAAACTCTTATTGATGAAATAATGAAAAATCTTCTGATGTAAGTGTTAAACATTATTAAAAAAAACTTTGTTAAAATATTATTTATATTTTTCAATGATGTGGTTACAGTCGGCTCCTACTGAATTTTCCGTCTAGATCCGCTACTAAGTAAGACAATTTCTAGCAAAACTTATTTATTTTTTTTAGGGAAAAAAAGATCGTTACGAGAAGTCTAATCTACTCTCGTATTTTTTCCATTCAATTTTGTACGTAACTATTATGATATTCATTTTCTTCGTCATTTAAATTTGGTTTGATGAAGTAATTATTAGTGTTGTAATTAAATGATTCAGTTAATTATCCAAATCGTTAATTAGATAGATAAGTATTATTTTGTTTGATGAGTTGAATTTTCTTGCATTATTATTGTCACAGGAATACACGACGTATACGATGTGTCCAAACTCGAAAGAAGCACAAAGAGAGTTAAAAGAGAAGCATACGCCACAGTTCTCCATTCCTCGGAAGCCTACGTTTGTGGAGCAATAACCTTAGCCCAAAGTCTCCTCCGAACCGGAACTCAACGTGACCTCATCCTCCTCCTAGACCGGAGCATCTCCCTCCCCAAACGGGCGGCCCTGGCAAAAGCCGGGTGGAAGCTCCGGTTCATCAACCGGATCCGGAACCCGAAAGCCGAGAAAGACTCTTACAACGAGTACAACTACAGCAAGTTCCGGCTCTGGCAGCTGACCGACTACGACAAGATCATCTTCATCGATGCAGACATCATCGTGCTACGTAATCTCGACGTCCTCTTCCATTTCCCGCAGATTTCCGCCGTCGGAAATGACGGGTCGATTTTCAATTCGGGTATTATGGTACTCGAACCGTCGAATTGCACGTTCAAAATGTTCATGAACCTTACTAAGGAAATCGTATCTTACAACGGAGGCGATCAGGGATTTTTGAATGAAGTTTTTGTATGGTGGCATAGGTTGCCGAGAAGGGTTAATTTCTTGAAGAATTTCTGGTCGAATTCGACGGTCGAATACGCGGTTAAGAACCAGTTGTTCGGGTCAGATCCGCCTAAGCTTTACTCGATACATTATCTCGGGTTGAAGCCGTGGCTTTGTTACAGAGATTATGACTGTAATTGGGATATTCAAGAACAACATGTTTATGCTAGTGATATTGCTCATTGGAGATGGTGGAAGCTCCATGACGCCATGGATGAGAGCTTGCAGAAGTTTTGTGGGTTGAAGAAACAGAGGAAGATTGATTTGGAGTGGGATAGACAAAAGGCTAGTGAAATCGGGTTAAATGATGGGCATTGGAAGATTAATGTTACTGATCCTAGGAAGTTTAGTACTATTTGAGTCAATTTTTTGAATTTAAATTCTCCACAATGATTTTTCTTGTTGATTATTGTTCTTAGATTACAAGTAGGTGTTTTTTTTTTTTTTTTGCACAGAGGAATTATTGCAATGTTGTTATATGGTTGCATTAATTTATGTTTCTTGTATAAAAGATTAGTTAGTTTGAGAGTTAGACATAAAAGCCCTATACATATAGGCTTATTTCTACCTTGTCTCCCTTTTTAGACATAAAAGCCCTATACATGAGAGTTAGACATAATTTTTTTTTGTAAGAAGAACAAATTGTGA